TGAGTCGGGACGATTGTATTTATTAGATAACTGACTACGTCCAAAGGATCGCCGGAGCGACGTGCAGTGCAAACTTCGTCTAGTTAATTGTGTTTTGTTATAATTCGATTGTAAGGCCAAAGACTTTGTAAATAACCTCTGTTAGCTTTTCGTGATAATGCCAGGCATACGTCCCACACGGACGAGAAAAACTTGCGATACAAAAATATGCATTTTGCTTTAATTTTTTTTTACAACCGTACCCTGATTCGGTACAAATATCTGAGTATTTTTAAGTGATGGTTTTATTTTTTTTAATTCGATATTTGTAAATAATTATACCAAATACGTTGGAATGTCGCCTGGGAGCCACGACTCTGTATATAGGTAGGTAGGTTAGAATCACTTTGTACGATGTAAGAAACTCGTCGGCGATAATTAAGGCTAGGGAGGTTCAATTAATTGTTAAATAAATTTTAAAGTGCAATCAGATGTAAATTTAAGCTATGGTCTAAACTGAACCCCAGTTGAAAAGTATTATTATGTTTATATGAACCGGTGAGGTTTCAAATATTATAATTGGGTTATATAAGTTTTAAATTTAAATTATGAATGTTTATTTTATACTATTGTATGTTTTACTATGTATTATTTGATACGTAAGCGGTACGGCTCAAGTTTGTGATGTGAAAGTGACATTGACAGTGACAGCTGTCAGATTTATTTTCCATAGACTATCGACTATCTTTTATCGCTTGATTCAACCAACTGCCCTTATTGTTAAACACAAAAACGACCTCTATTGATTTTATATATTTCTAAAAAAAACGTACAAATAAGCAAATAATGTATTGCTTGTGGTTATAGTTTTATTTTATATTAGCAATAAACTTGCTTTTAAAATTATTTCTGTTTATCTGTTGTTTTATTTTTATTTTGCTTCCTTTTTTTATCCTTATTTTTATTACTAGTTAATAACGAAATTTTAAATGTATATTAAAATTGAAGAGGAACCATACTCCTTGCATCATGTGTAAATAATAGAAATTCAGTTATTCTTGTAAATAAAACGCCACGTTAGGTAGAAAATTAGAAATTAGTGATATAGAACACTGAAATGAACTAAATATTAAAGGGTTTATTCATGAATATACAAAATTATATTTAATGAATTAATAAAAAAAATTGTTGACAGCCCTTGATGTATCGATGCCAAATACACTTCGGTACCAAATGTTTTAGATTTCGTAATGAAATTAATAAAATGAAAATCTTTCAAAACTTTCAGTTTTAGATCTACCAACCATACATATCGATGTTATTTATAAAAAATAAAAACGATTAAGATGTAGCATAAGAATTAGAACTATTAGTCAATATCACAAGACCTTAGGCTGTTTAACAGTTTTTAAAAAAGTTCATTTGGTAACAAAAGTTAGGTTATGTTTCAGTTAAATGTCGTTTGCTTTCGTCTACGTTCATTTGTCTTCGAGCTTTTGCTTTTGAGAGTATTTATATAAATATTATTGTTGTTATTAAATGGTTGCCAAGAATAATTTTGGAGAAAACATCATTTTATATTTTCTTTGCTAACATTGTTAAATATAGATTAAAACATTTTTGTAATTAATATAGAGGTTATAACAATTGAAAGATGTAGAGAAAGATGATATAAAAGTCGTAGGCAATGTTTATATTGACATGATAAACAACGCAGTATCAAACGATCACACAGAGAATGACGTATTGTAATAAAATTGTGAATTCATCGTCTATATGCAGCTCTCGAGAAGGATTTATAATCTATTTATTAGCGCAAGGCCTGTATGTCCCGTTTTATTTTATCAATTTACAGCGTACTCCAAAATATTCGAGGTAACCTAGAAAATAATACGCCATCTTGTATTTTATTGTTGTGTTGACATTGAAAGATGGCAGTAGTAATGCAGTGTACATATATAGCGTATAGTCAACTATCGTATGTTATCTCCATTATATTATAAAAATAGTAATAAAAATTATAGCGATAATTATTATTGTTCATATCATAATATTAATAATGATGCTGAAACCATTGTCTTCTTTCTGAACAATTTCTAAAGTTATTAAATTAAAAATAAAGAAATTGCTAATCCGTATTTGTTTTATTTTGTTAATTGTTGTTTTGTGAAATCAAAATCTGCGTATAAAACATATCTGCCAATTATCTTAGACAAAATAGAAATAATGTCTTATACAGGAATTTTTGGTTTTAGAAGCCAACGCTGTCTTCGACTTGAAGTTCTGGCGGAAATGGAATGAATAATCACAAAATGTTCTCTCGATTTCAGAACTCTCTTAATACATAGACCAACTATATTACCCGAAAAGATTTTACACTGTTTAGGTAAACACGAGTTTTATTTAACCCTTTGACCGCTAATGATAGATAATTAAAATAATAAAAAGGTTAACTTATAGAGACAAAACAAACATTTAAAAATAATATCAAGAAATAAATTTATTTAAACCAAAGATAGAACAGAATGGAAAAACAAAATCGCTACACAAATAAATAATTATAGTAATTCAAATTAAATTGAATTATTCAATCTACTTCTTCTATAACAGGGCCGTCGGAGTTCCTCTGCTTTCCACTTCCCGCTCCATGCAGTTTCATCATAATCGGACCACAGAGTTTCTTTACTTGCTTCAGTTTCTCTTCGTACTCCTCCTTTTCTGCTAAAGTGTTGCCATCTAACCATCGTAAAATTTCCTCACACTTTTCCGTCGCTCGGGAGCTTTCAGAACTATTAAGTTTGCTACCAGCAACATCAACAGCTTGTTTAACATCAAATACATAAGTTTCTAGTTGATGTCGCGCAGCAATACGCTCTTTTTGTTTATTATCCTCATCTTTGTACATTTCAGCATCTTCTAGCATACGCTGTATTTCAGCCTGAGAGAGTCTGCCTTTATCATTCTTTATAACTATATTTTTACTCTTGCCAGTGCTATTTTCTTTAGCGGAGACGTTAAGGATTCCATTTGCATCAATGTCGAATGTAACATCAATTTGTGGTACACCACGAGGTGCGGGTGGTATTCCAGTTAGATCGAAAGTTCCAAGCAGATTATTATTTTTGGTCATTGCTCTTTCACCTTCGTACACTTGAATGTTAACAGCGGGTTGATTATCTGAATAAGTGGTAAAGGTCTGAGAATGCGTGCAAGGGATTTTAGCATTGCGCTCAACTATCTTTGTCATAACTCCACCGGCCGTTTCAATACCCAGAGATAAGGGGGTGACGTCGACTAAAAGCACGTCCTGAATCTTAGAATGACGCTCGCCACTTAATATCGCAGCTTGAACAGCTGCCCCATAAGCCACAGCTTCATCCGGATTAATAGATAAATTGAGTTTTTTACCATTGAAGAAGTTTTGGAGTAAATTTTGAATCTTAGGTATACGAGTTGAACCGCCAACCAAAACAATATCATTAATAGAGCTTTTATCCATTTTGGCATCATTTAAAGCTTTCTCCACAGGTTCTAATGTGATGCGAAATAAATCAGCGTTTAGTTCCTCGAATCTTGCTCGTGAAATTCGTGAAAAGAAGTCTATTCCCTCGTAAAGGGCGTCTATTTCTATATTTGCTTCCGTACTAGAAGAAAGTGTTCTTTTAGCTCGTTCAGCAGCAGTGCGCAGGCGACGAAGCGATCTTGGGTTCGATTTGATATCTTTTTTATACTTTCTTTTAAACTCATCAGCAAGAAAGTTAACAAGCCTATTGTCAAAATCTTCACCGCCAAGATGAGTGTCACCGGCTGTAGCCTTTACTTCAAAAAGAGAACCTTCATCAATTGTAAGGATGGATACATCAAAAGTACCTCCTCCTAAATCAAAGATTAAGACTTTGCGTTCTCCTTTTAAATTCTTGTCTAGCCCGTAAGCCAAAGCAGCAGCGGTAGGTTCATTTATTATTCTAAGTACGTTTAAGCCAGCGATAGCTCCAGCATCTTTAGTGGCCTGTCTTTGTGAGTCATTGAAGTAAGCAGGTACTGTTATAACTGCATTAGTGACTTTGCTGCCTAAATACGATTCAGCTGTTTCTTTCATTTTAAGTAGCACCATGCTGCTGATTTCTTCAGGAGTGAATACTTTTGCTTTTCCTTTAAATGATACTTGAATCTTGGGTTTTCCGTTATCATTGATAACTTTAAAGGGCCAATGTTTTATGTCTTGCTGCACAGTGGGATCGTCATACTTTCGCCCAATCAATCGCTTGGCATCGAAAATAGTATTATCTGGGTTCATAGCTACCTGGTTTTTGGCCGCATCTCCAATCAATCGTTCGGTATCAGTGAACGCAACATAAGAAGGAGTTGTTCTATTACCTTGATCATTTGCAATTATATCTACGTTACCATGTTGCCAAGCGCCCACACAGGAATATGTTGTTCCCAAATCTATACCCACAGCAGTCATTTTTGTATTTTTATCTTTTATAAGTTTGAAGTTTTCTTGAAATCTTTTTAAACGTGCACAAAATTTTACAATACAATATTTCTTTCTTTCTTCAGAAGACTAATTTTCAACCAGTCATTTTCTTATTAGTCTGTTAATACTTCTGTACAAGCCAACAAATATAAACGGTTTGAATAAAATAAGGAAATTATTCATAAAATACTAGTTTTTAGTAGGTCATCTTACTCTTTAAATTAATTTAGAAATAGCGCACACAAAATAAAAAATATTACAAGACTGGCAATAAAGATTTGAGAATTGGCAACAACAATAAGTAAATGTCATAGTCAAGGTGACAGTGACATTTATAAACTTCAAATAAAATAAGAATTTTGAATTTTAGTTAACAAAAACAAATTAAATACTGTACGTTAATAAAAGAATTTGTTTATATTAAGACTAAGACTATTGTGTATTGTAAAAAAAGGTTTTAAAGCATCCTATTTCTTTTATCAACGATTGTTATTCTTTATAATTCTAGAAACAGCGCACGAGAAATCAAAACACTAACTAAAACTATTCATATGTTTACCGATGTAAATAATTCTTAAATTAAAATGAGATATGCGCAATTAGTTGTGGGTCCTGCAGGAAGTGGAAAGGTAATATTTTTTTTTATTTTAATATAACACTTAAACATCAAACTGACAAAATCATTTTAAATATATATTTTTGGTATTTCTTCTCAACTATATTTAACTGATGGATGTCTTTTCTTAGTCAACGTACTGTTCTACGATTGTTAAACATGCAAGTGATGCTAAAAGGATAGTAGAGGTTGTAAACTTGGACCCAGCGGCTGAACACTTTGATTATGAACCCCTCGTGGATATCAGAGAACTTATCCACTTGGATGATGCCATGGAAGATGAAGAGTTGAAGTTTGGACCTAACGGAGGCCTTGTATTCTGTATTGAGTAAGAATCAAAGTATTTAATTCACTTGTTATGAAAATCATTGCTTTTTAGATGTTACATTGAACATGTTCATAACTTACCTGGTAAATTTACTCTGAGTCAGTTTTCTTTTACTAAAGACTACCAGCCAAGTCATCTTACTAATATTATAAATGTGAATGTTTGGATGGATGTTTGTTTAAAGGTATCTCTAAAACAGCTGCATGGACTGCTGATGTTTGGCATAGATATAGAACATAGTCTGGAAGAAAACATAGGCTATTTGTGTAGTTTTTCTTCAATTCCACAGAGAAAAATTTCTATTGACTATTAGTACTAATATATTTAAATATATCTTTGTTTATATCTTCCCAGAACACTTCTAGAAAACAGTGACTGGCTCGAAGAACAGTTAGGAGATGTAGACGATGACTACATTTTGTTTGACTGTCCCGGTCAGATAGAACTGTATACACACCTGTCTGTGATGCGTAAGATTGTGGAGCTGCTAGAAGGCTGGAACTTCAGGATATGTGTTGTCTTCCTTATCGATTCACAGTTTATGGTTGATGGTGCAAAATTTTTATCAGGTACACAGTATTTTATAATGTTATTATATTTATTGCAATGAAAATTTACTGTTAGATAAAAATTAAATCCAATAATGTCAAAATGCGTATTGTCCAATCCGGGGAAGAGTTACATATCTTTTGACATCATAAAGAACTTTTTTCAGATCACTTGACTTATATATTTATTCTTTTTACGCACTTGACTATGCCATGTGATTTAAACTCTCAACTATTTGATCGGAAATCTGTACTCGTAATCAATGAGCTATTGGTACTTAACATTATTTAACTTTAATTGATGTACACCTTTCATTTTTCATCTTATGAACACTGAAAAGTGATTATTATGTTACAGACCAACCAGAAAAATTATGTTTTAGTTTTTATTACTAAAGATTTTTATTTACAGGTACCATGGCAGCACTAAGTGTTATGGTGAATTTGGAACTACCTCATGTCAATGTTTTAACAAAAATGGATCTGCTCACTAAGACAGCTAGAAAACAATTAGACAAGTAAATATTTTTTTTTAAATCTAATTTATGAACAAAAGATTGTCTGTCCATATGTACATTCTGTCCTATCATCTTATGTTATTACATTCTTTCTCTAATATAAATTTCTTTATCCACAAAAAAAGTTACAAGTCTGTCGCTAGTGTTCTGTGTTGAATCAACAAAAAAAATTGTCTATACCTCGGTGGGGGCGTTTTATTTCTTATTTTACTTATTAACTGGAAAACAATAACAAATCATCAACGGCTGTCTTAATTACTGCTTTCCGATCTAGATAAAAATTCAATGAATCCGGAGAACAAAAAAAAAAACGAGATTTTTTTTACAATGCCGTTTTTTTTTTCCAGTTACCTGGAACCAGATCCGCACGTATTATTAGCTGATATGAGAAACGCTCATTCGAAATGGCACGAGAAATATGCAAAATTAACAGAAGCCATCGGAGAGGTTATAGAGAATTTCAGCCTCGTTCGTTTCTATCCGCTCAACATAAAAGATGAAGAGAGCATAGAGAACATACTTATAACCATAGACAACATAATCCAATATGGCGAAGATGCGGATGTCAAAATAAGAGATTTTGATGAAGAAAATGATGATAATGTTAATTGTGATTAAAATAAAATTACAAAAACATATTTTTGTTTTTTTAATTAATGTAAAAAAAAATCTTATACTATAGGAAGAGTCGGAACAAGTGAGGGAATCAGAACATTGCCTTTTCTCCTAGTTTTAATTTTAATTAGTAAATTGCTCACAATATAACATAACTATTGCATTAAATATAACAAAACTTAAAATATTAAAAGTATGTTTTATTGATAAGTCTTATTTATTATTTCTAAACATTAGTAGTAAAAATTGAATGAAGGGCAACTATCTCGTAGTTAGTTTTCGACAGAACTATTTATTAAGTTAAGTCATGCTATGAATAAAAGCTTTTAATTCAAAGACAATATATTGGATGTCTAAAAGTAACTTGGAACCTAAACAATATAGTTTTTATACTACAAAGCCCTTATATTCAATGCTGAACATAATTAGATCATACCTTGCATACCATACCACATATCATACCATACCACATACCTTGTGGTCACCATTGACGTTACTGAACACATACTAATTGTTCAGCGATCATCCTTGACAAGACTGAACATATACCCTTAGTCAGTGGTCATCTATGACAAGACTGAACACATACTAATTGGTTAGTGTTAATCTTTGACAAGACTGAACACGTATCATGTGGTTGTGGTCATCCTTGACAAGACTGAACTTATACTATTTGTTCAGTTGTCATCGTTGGCGATGCTGAACACGTACCGGCAGCAGCCGAACTGCAGCAGAGCGCCGTGTGGCAGCAGCGCAGAGCCCTCCCAGGCACCACCGCCTCCTGGCGTTGTACTACCGCACCGGCACTCCTCGTCTTCTTCCCAAGACGGACGCACTGTCAGGGCGCCATTGGGCCTAAGTCGAGATTAATAATAATTAGGAAGTTAACACTAAACTGTTAATTTTCTGATACTTGACTTTAAGCAAAGGACAAAAGAAGTCTCTTAAATCGATTATATGTTACTGTCATACGATTATTGAAAATTTATTAACGCAAGACACTGATAAGTGAAAAGTGGTGATATTTTTATCTTTTATACTCTATGAATGACTGCTGTACTGTCATTATGGTCAGTAAGGCTCTTGTGTACATTTCCCATATTAAATCTACACTAAAGGAAATCATTTAATGACTCTAAGTGCGACATTAACATACAATTAAGTTAAAGTAAGTATCTACCTGCGTGGCGGTGGTTGCCTGCTATGTACTAGATCTCTGAGAGCCGCGGCGCGTGCATCCGCCTCCTGTACCGGGTCTGGTGCTGCACCCTCGCCCTCCGCTGGGCGATCTGCCCCCACTTCACGCGGCGACCAGTCGCACGTGTACAGCACACCATTCACACGGCTTCCGAACTCCGAGTAGTTGATCAGCTCAAAATGTCCTGTCACCTGGACAAGGAAGACACAGATTGATAATTTTCACTTTTTTGTGTTACTAGCAGACGTTTGCGACTTAATCAGCGCAGAATTAAAAAATAACCTAGTCCATCTGTTTACCTTCTAGAAAATCAACTTAAATATTGCATCAAAAAAAAGAAAAGAAAATTTAAAAGTACCTCATCGCAGAATATAAGTGCGTGTTGCGCGGAGGCGTGCCGGCAGTGCGGGGACAGCGGCACCTCGCATCCGTGTGTACCCACTGACACGCTCGACAGACGCATCGCCACTCCGCTCCCGAACCGAGCCTCCCCACCCTCTCTGTACACGTACATCACCTCACTATATACCCCCACTGAGGGGCTCAGAGCCTACCCTATGTTAGTAGACCATAGTCAGTGCTAGCCCCGTGCGGGTAGACTTCACATATATCTTTGAATTTCCTTACAGATATTTGCAGGTTGCAACAAGATGTTTTCTTTCATCGTAAGAAAAAAAAACACATTGATATATAACGGGATTCAAACCCAGGACCTGCAAATTACAAGTCAAGTGCTTAACCCCTAACACATATGTAAGGTAACTGACCTATCAACTTTGACAGGTGTGAGCACAGCACGCACAGGGAGGTGCGGCTGGAGGGCGCTGGTGTCGCGGGGCGTGGCTTGAGGTGGTGGGGGCGGGGCGCCCCACACGAGGCGTGCAATGCGCTCGCGGTCTGCACGTGCGAGGAGTTCAGAAGGCAGGGCGGCGCGCCGCACGCCCAGCCGGGCCAGCCGCGCGCGCTCCACCCCGCCCAGCAGCCGCGCACCAGCAGCACCGCCTCCAGCACCGCACCCGCGCCACCGCCCTACTACTGCCTCGCCACATGCTATCTGTTACACACACATATTCATTTAATTCTTACTTAAACAGTCGCTTAGTATTATTCATTATGTTAGATATACATCTACATACAAGAACAAATGTAAAATTTCGCACCGGGGTCATATAGTACTGTCTTACATCTAAATTGTTATTTTGATAAATATATATCTTTATATATATAATTCTTCTGTGAGTGTGTATGTCACTGAACTTCTGTCAAACAACTGGAGCGATTTTGATGAATTTTTTTTGTGTGTGTTCAAGGGGATCTGGGAATGGTTTAGATTCACAATTTTGTCCGCTGGACAATGTTTTTTTAATTAATTTTTAATTTATTAGTAGTTGTTGATTTTGGAATGTTTTACATTGGATCCGACAGACGGCGCTATATATATATATATATATATATTTAGCACCTTTCTCTGTTTTTATTGTTCTAACTGTCGCACGCGACACCGTCCGCGCAAAATAAAAAACAAATTAGTAGCTTATGTTTTCTTCCAAACTGTTCTTTGTTTATGCCTAATTCCTGTACTGTTCTGTTCTGAAGATATCTACAAACAAACATCCATCCAAACATTCTCATTTAAAGATTAGTAAGAAGCAAGATGTAACTACCAGGAAAACATAACCTTTGAATACATTTAATGTGAAATCAACTTTAAGACATGGAAATAAGGCATAAAATGTAATGCATACATTGCAAGTGCGAAGTGACCAAGGTGTACCTGCTGCAGCTGCTGCCAGGCGAGCAGCTTGACGAGGCGATCATCCAGCAGATGCAGATGTCTATCGACGGCAGCCAGCAGCTGGTCTACACCAGCGTCGCGCAGCTGCAGGCGGTCAGTCCTGGCTGCGCGTGCTCCCCCCCACCCCCAGCCACCGGACACGCGCCGCCGCTTCACCTTGCTCGTCAGGTACTCGAAGTCGGAGTCTGACAACTCACTCGATGAATCCGCTTTTTCTTCCTACAAAGAATTCACCCTTGAAGTTCCTGACAGACTAAATAGGCACAAAATGCCGACAGCTTATAGCCTATCCATGTATAGAGGTAGTTTCACCATCAGAAAGTTTTAAAAAGAATAAAAAAATGATATCTTTCGTTTACCTTCTGTTGAGGAGTTGTGATGGCATCCAGGTCATCGTTTGCGTCATCCTCGCTGGCGGGGCGCAGCGGGCAGGAGCCGCCCGAGTACTGCGGGCAGCCCGTGTTCATGCAGATGCGGTGCTTCTCCTTCACGCCCTCCTCATCATCAGACTCAGAGTATACTCCGCCTGCCTGCAGCTTTTTTAATACTGCATACATAACATATAATCTTATTAATATTATTTTTTTTTATTTTAATTGTGATAGTTTAGATGGATGGATGAATATTTGTCAGAAAATATCTCCATAATGGCTGAACGGATACCAATGAAATTTGGCATAGATATAGAACATAGTCTGAAAGAACACATAGGCTACTTTCTTTTTTTTTTATTTCACCATCGATGCGTATTTTTATATACAAGCAGAATTGTTTACTTCGCTTTATTACTTGAATATCGAGTATTATTTTGGAACAAAACGTAAATATATATGTATTTATTTCTCATTTGTTTGTAACCATATAACTCCAGAACAGATAAACCGATCTAGACTTAAATTGGAATATGCATAGATCATAGTCTAGAATAGGACATAGGCTACTTAGTTTTACTTTTAAATTCATCCGAACGAAAGGGGAATGTCTCCGGACGAAATATGCAACAGCTATTTAAACTCTGTTCGCGAACAATTTGCGTGGTGTTCGCGAACTATTAGAGTTGTGTTCGCGAACTGTGGGATTTGGTTTTGAATGTTTTTACGTGTGTTTTGTACCATTATTGCATCGCACATGTTCCCTGCGGCTGGGCAGCAGCGGCGGCGGGCGGCGGTAGTGCAGCCGCACCATGGCCGGCACCACCACGCGTCCGCGGTACCCCCACGCCTTCACTCTGACGTACATCACGACACATCACAACACATCACAACACGCACAACAATTGTATACCATATACATAATATGTATCACACAATATGTAATTTTACGAAACGATTCAAACACATCTTCAAAGAATAAGTTGTAAAAAATAATTCTGAAACATCTATGTAAGGATTGTACGTAGTAGAAAGACGACATATACTCTCTTAATTACAATAGTGTTCCATTTTTTTTTTAATTCAACTATTAAATCACAGTGGTAGAGCCCGCTTTAACATCTTCGCACGAATTGGCCCGGCTCGTCCAGTGAAATACCACGACCACACAGAAGACAGGCGTGAAGTGGATGCAATTCCGCGTTTCGTCTGATGAGTGTGCGTCCCGGAGGCCTAATTTAGTCCTCTTTCCCTTCCCATCCTTTTTCTTTAAATCAAAGGATGGGAAGTGAAAGTGGACTTTCCGGATGAGAGGATGCATGGAAAAGGAAAATATTTTCTTTCTATGCATCCTCTCCTCCGTCGATTAAAGGTAGGCAACGCATATGCAATTGCGTATGTCTATGAGCAACGGTAACTTCGCTATTTCAGCGATTTCAGGTGACCGCTCGCTCGTTTGCCACCTTATGATATAAAACAAACAGTAATAACTTATCATCTTTTAGACAATTACAGTAACATCTCAATAATTAGTACAGATATTTGAACATCGGCTACTAACAGATTACACACCACTATTATCCGGGATACAGGGTCCATTGAACCTGGTACAAACCTAAAGGCAGGCCTGGCTCTCCTGGCGCGCCGTATGAAGTCAATCTTGATGGCGTGCTGGTCTACCGGCTCAGAGAACTTATCCCACAGAGCCACGCGCTCCGTTGCTGATATAGAGTTCACCAGCTTCCAGTCCTGAAATTATATTACGAATATATAATAACTAACCTGGTAATAAACATAGCATATGTTATACAGGGATAGTGTAGATTCCCAACAGTGAAAGAATTTTTCAAATCAGTTCAGTAGTTTCGGAGTCTATTCAAGACAAACAATAAAATCTTTCCCCTTTATAATATTACTAAGATGTGGATATCAATGCATGTTTGTTAGAAAATTAATAGAATAGTAGCTTAAAATATTTTTTTAATTATAAAAATAGGTCGATTATTTTATTCAATTTTAAAGCGTCAGCTAAACATATTCTGGATTTGACTTGAATTTAAAATACATTCTAGATTTGTTGATAACACTTACGATATATTTCTCCACATGATTGGGACACATCCATCGTCCTGTGGGAAGAGCGGTAAGCGGCGGATCCAGACAATCCTGTACCAAATAATACAATGCTAAAAAGTGACAAAACTTAGTAAAAAAAATCACAAGAGTGGGCAAAATGTTGGACCTAGCAGACAATCACAAGAGTGGGCAAAGTTTGAGCTAGTAAAAAATGACATAAGTGGGTATTATGTGAGACCTAATACACAATTGCATAAGTGGGCAAAATTTGAGCAATTAGAAAATCACATGAGTGGACAAAGTGTTCTACCTGATGGAAGAGCAATGGGCAATAGTCGCACTGCAGCAGCGGTGCAGGCTTGCAGGTTCCACGGCACACATAGCACGCCTTGGCCGGCAGCGGCACGCAGCCCCACGAGTCCACATTCACCACTGTAGCGTTGCCGTTCTTACTGCCCTCTGAATACCACAAATTTGATTATTTTACATCATTTTGTATGTTAGGATTAATGAACAGTATAAATGTATTATTTTTGTTTTTATATTAAAAAAAGTATCTAATAACGAAATTGGTAATCTTATACTGTTCAAATGATTAAAAAATATATATTTTTCTTCCTTCTATGCTACTGAATCAATTGTCAAGATATTTTGGTAGGATATTCTTTAGATGCTGACTAAATAAAAACGTTTTTTCTTTTCAAAATGTATTAAATTATTGGCTACTGATTTTTTAACTAATATTTTATTTAAAATTATTGGCAATTTTAAACAATAAGATAGCCATCATGCGGTGTTTGAGTTTAAATAAATGTTTACCTTTTTCAGTTCCTGGAAATATCATTGGTATCCTCATTTCTCTCGGCAACTCAAACTGCTTGGGGTTCATAACTTTAGCCGCTTTGACGAGAATCTCCATTGGTGTGAGTTCTTTCTTCTCTTCTTCAGGCTCCTTGCTGACTTCCTCTGTTTCTTTGTCTTCTTCAGACTCCTTGTCATCTTCTTTATTCTTCTTCTTAGCTGATGTACTTGCCCTGTTTATAGTACTTTGATATTGTAAACTACTGCTAAGATAATTACAGATATATAACTTTTTTCTAGGGTTTTATTAGTATACTTTTCGTAAAAAACAGGATTCTAGCTGTGATTATTATTATGAAATAACAGAAGCTTAAACAGCTTAATTCTTATGTTTTACTGTAATCACGGGATATCTTGTTACACAGCTATTTATGCATACATAAGATATATCAATCTCTCTAAGAGATAAGATGTTTAACTGTAAATTTATCAGCAATGCAAACTCTTGAATAATTTGTCAACACATTCAGTACCACTAATTCACCTAGTTACCTAGTTCTCTTCTCAGTATCAGACTTATCAGCCGGTGACTGAGCTCTGGAGCTTCGTGTTGATGACTGCTTCTCATCAGCTGCACAGCACTCACGGCACAACCACAAGCCAGTGGGGATATCACTAACCTCTAATGGTGGATCACTGTAATATTATAAGAACCAATATTAATATACTTTAAGCAAATGCTAAATTATAAAAGTGTTCAGTCTTATATTACTTACTAGCATCCAAGATGAAAGCTGGCTGGACAGCGATCACAACAAATTAAGTCACCTCCTTCGCCACAAGCGTCACAGGAATCATGATTGTGACCCTTACCAGGTCTTTTATAATATGGATGTTGAGGCTTTTTGGGTTTCGGTGGAATCAAATCTTCATCGGGTGGCTTAATTATCGCCCTTATAAACTGAAATGACATTAACCTTTATTAGATTAACCCGACCCTTAGTATAATTACTTAGTATAGCCCATTGTCGAATTTATTCCAAACTATTTTTTATAATAGATAGATAAACCGTTTAACTAATACACTTACAGGCATAAGACCACCCGAGGTGTCGAGATCATACGAAATGTTAGACATTATTTATATAGTAGACAATTCGAGACAAGGAGGAATAGCTGTTAGAACATATATAATATGAAAAAAATATTCCAGCTAGACTATTAACTAAATTTTAATGTAATGTAATTAACAAATCTTAATTGTTTTATTTGTTCTCTATTTTTAACAATATAACTCGCATATATTCAAATTTGAAATAGGAAAGTTAACTTTATAAGTTTAATGAAAAAGAAACCAAACGAAAACAATTCAGTCGGCAAAAGATGGCGGTACGGAAGCTATGACATTTGTTTGACATTGACACTGACAGTTGCTTTGGTATTGCCATCACAACCGACTTTCAAAATTTAACTTCAAATCAAAGAGTACGTAACACACCTTCCCATAAAAGAGTAGGTACGTTTTTCTTCTTTTCCCTTTAAAGCAAATATGCCGCCATATATTTTTTTAAATAGTTTTTGCCATTTTTTAATTTGAGTTTGATAAAAATCTCAGAAATAAGCTAACTCTTTCTATACATGATAAAATTTCATCGAAGATTTTCAAAGTTGTCCGAAATTGTTTGCATCTACATACAAAATGAAACCGTAGTTTTATTAACGGAGGAATGTAATTTGAGTTCTTAAATGTGTCATTTGATTTACTTCTTATTTTTAAGATAAATACCATTCCTTCACCCAGTAATTCATTTTGATATTTTAAACGGATGTTAACTTTTTACAGCTTTTGAGATATATATGGCAACTATTTCTCAACGGAAGCTGCCATTTTTCTGACGTCATGGGCGGAGTTTAGTTGAAGATCGAATTCGGATTCGGTTGGCGGGCGCGGCCATCTTGGTGAATTAGTGACCTGGCGATTCGGTTTAGTTAGTGAAAAATCATTTGTCATCCACAATGTCGGAAAGGGAAGATAATGTGTATAAAGCAAAGCTAGCCGAGCAGGCGGAGCGCTATGATGGTAAGTAGATATTTCCACTTATTCTTTAGTATTAGGACAGAAATTTTGTGATAATTTCGCCGACAGTTGAAAGACGAATCGGTGATAGTCTGAAAAATTTCTTCAAATACTCACTCATATCATTATAAAGGGATCACTATAAACGGAAAAATATGTATAATGCATTCATTATAAGCCTTGCATTTGTTCAATTGTAACAAATCAATGGCATTCGTTAGGCTTGGTCAGCGATCGATGCGTCATCCGCCGGTGGGATGCCCTTTACGTTTTTTACGATGATAAAACAGAAGAATTCGTTTTAACCGACTCCAAAACCTTCTATTATATAAAAATGTTTAAGTTTTATGATTTCAAATATCGTTCTTTTTGCGTTTCATTTGAATTCACTGCAAATGTCGAGATGAAAAAGTCATACTCTTTTTTCCCCATGAATGGGAAGTAAGTCTGATCGATGTCACCGAGCTCACTCATGCATGTCGCGCCTTGTAACGATTATTTGATGAAAGGTATCGGAATGATCTAGATTTTTTTGTTTCTCAATTTACCGATAGACCTGCAATTCCCGCGAGGTTTCACTTATTATTCATATCGAAGTGGGCTGTGAATTTCGCAAGTTAAATCGTTTTATTCATCGTTTGAATTAAAACAGCGGCTATTGTTAGGTTATCTTTGAGCGACTTTCACGGCGTTGATATCGCAGACGCTGTGACCCCGTATCAGAGCGAAAGCTTTACGCTCATCCGTAGCAAGTGGTGCACGAACGGTATTTTTATCACGATTCAGAACTCAAAATTGCAGTATCTCATAGTTATCGATTAGGAAATGAGTATTGCGCGACTTGACAGCAGTCATTCTTTATTCACTGACTCACTAACGAAGTCGAGAAAAATGTGTTAGTTTCATATTTATTATTCACGTTGCGTACGTAACTTTCACCTACCAGCATTTTTAAAACAGTTAAAATTTATGACCAGGTGTACTTATAAAATTGTATTAACTTTAGAACACAATTGAATATTAACTTAATCATACTACAATATCAACTAAAACACTAAAAAATGATAAAAATTCAAATAAATGCACAAAATTAATTAATTTAAATGATTCTTTACATGATTTCATTATAAAATTAAAATTGTATGAACAAGATGCCTTGAACTTAAATAACCATGTATAATAATTTTCTACACACCATTATGTAAGAATTAAACTGTACATATACTTTTGAGATAGTTATATGTTTAAACCATAAAAGTAAATTAATATAGTATAAAAATTATCCATTTGTCTAATACCATGGTTACTGAAATAAAAAAAGAAGTGAAGGCTACACTTGAAGAAAAATGTTAAGTAAAAATAGCCATGTAAAAAAGCCAATTGATACATGTAAAAAAATATGGCAATAAAGAGGATAATAAACAATAGTGGCTTATATTTATAGATTTTGTGGCTAAGAGTGTAATTTCTTTTTAGCAACCAAAAGAAAGATATTTTGTCCTTACCCGAGTTTCTAAGACCAAAATCCTTGTTTGCAACATATTGTTGTCTGTTTCATCAAAGATAATAACAGGGATGACAACTTGTTTTATGCAGAGATTTATTTAAAAAAAAACTCACAATTTATAATAGATTTTTGTTACCACGCCCCTTTTTATTATTTTTTTATAGTGTGACTAAATGTAATATGTTTCTTTACAGAAATGGTTGAGGCGATGAAGAATGTAGCCTCACGCAATGTATCAGACAATGAACTCACAGTGGAGGAAAGGAACCTCCTTTCCGTTGCATATAAGAATGTCATAGGTGCACGCCGCGCCTCTTGGAGGATCATCTCTTCAATTGAACAAAAGGAAGAAACAAAAGTAAGTGACCTACACAACACATTTTCTATCTCCAACATAGGGTATGAACATTTTTGACAATAGATATGTTTATAATTAAACAACTTTTAAACAAATCTACTAAAACATATGTAGTTACCTCAAGTTTTTCTCAAAAGGAATGAGGATGAAAATATATTTTTGCATTGAACATTGAATAGAAACTCTTGGTAAGTTAACAAAAGAGTTCAAAAGCAACTTGTATACTTTGTGACTGCATTTGAGTTGTTTCAATGTGGTTCTTGTTTTGTGATGAGATTTGGCATTATTGCAGCAGTGAGTGATACATAATAGATATAAAGAGATATAGTACAAGATATATTTGCTCATATGTAAGTGAACTTTGAGTTATAAGGTGACAAATTTTCACCTGTTGCATTGTATTATTGGACAGACAAAATCAACATTTTTACATATTGTAATGTGAAATATAGTCTATATATTTTATGTAAAAAAGCACATTTTGCACTGTTACACAATTCACCTACAGGTATGCTAAAAACGTAGTAGCACTGAAAATGTGTTTAGAAAATTAGGTAAGGGGATGCTGAAAAGTTACATGAACCAAAAATTCTTACTGCTGTAAAAGTTCAATGAACTTCCTGTCTCTGTTATGTAACAGCAAAAATTGGAAGGAACCCAATTTGGAATGAAAATTCGTCCAAGTAATCTTCGTGACTTCCTTCTAAAACTAGTTTTAAGATATTCCTAGCCATTTTTCGATATTTCTGAGTTGTAATATGCATAAAAAGTAATAGGTTCAACCACAGAGGAGGTGTGTTTAGAGTTTTCCGGAATTTAATGGGGTGGGGCAATGCAGTAGAGCCAGTAAAATTGGGTCGTGTATGACTCATAGCAAGGCTTTATTGGCACTGAAATGCGTCCTCGATTTTATTTCTCTTTACAAACGCCGTATAAAAGTTTAGTATGAAAACTTTGAGCATTATAGAAACTTTAACTGCAATCGTGAGATACGAACTTTATTTGCAGTCGAACCTGGAAGGAAAGTCCAAGGGATCGCAATTTTCTCGCATATGATTTTGAGGTTAGAGAACCCGAGTTTAAACCTTGTGGATATCGATCGTCGGGATCAGACAATGATTGTCGCTTGTAGAGGTTTCTGGTTTATCGATGTTCCACTGTATTATTACGAATTATATAATTTTATACAGATGTAACGGCAAAGAGAGGTTACGGTTATTATTCAAAATTAGCATAGGGTTTTCCACGAAAATTGACGAACAAAATGCATTTAGTGCAAAAAGAACATGAATGTTATGATGAATTTAGGAATACGGTAAAATTATTAAATACGCGCGCTTTGTACTCTTTTATCAGCACTAATGGTAAAGGAAGAAATCTTAATGCTCTCATGAATTATATGTATATTTGAAAGTAATAAAATTTACACAGTTTCCTGCAGGCATTTCATAGAAATGACAACTGGCTTGCAATTTTTCGTGCATCAAATAACAAATTGAATGACAAATTTTTATATAAAAAAAGGATGTGCTTATAATCGGATTTAAATCAAGTAGTATGTAATTTCTTACAAAATAAATACAATGTAATATCGTATATTATATATATTGTTTATAAATTGAACATAAAAATGCATACAGATGTTTTGTATATAAATTCCTTTGAGGTTTACAAGGAACGCCACAGAACTATATCAGTTATCATAACAAATATTGTGTAACTATCGATAATGTATATCATTTTATCATGCGCGTATCACAATTTTTGTTTAAGCCATAACAAATACAAACAATAATGAAGGATAAAATAATTGTTACTAAAGGTAATTTGTGTTACACGAGTAAACATAACGTCTTGCCAAGGACTTTAGAAGCTGACGAATTATATAAAAATGTCGATATTTTTTATAGATGTAAATACTGTCTACCTGTCTACAACACAGTCGTGAAGTTTTAAATATAAAGCGAAACTTGATTAGTACTGAAATACCATCAATATTGTATTTGTAAATATAATATTTCCTGAATGAATAAAGATAAATACAGATAAGCAATAGTGGACTCCTCTGATATCACAAATTCGTAGTTTAGACCTGGAATCGATAGCATAATAAAAAAAAAATTGGTCATGGGCATTAAAGTAACTTAAGTTTTAAGTGGGCAATACAGATATGTTCTAGTGTAGTCCCCTTGAGTGTGCTCTACACTCGTTTGTCTAGACTAGACGAACATATGATGACTTAAGAAGTGAAGAACGCAACGGAAGACTACTTTGTCTATGATTACGTGTGCGCCTGCATTATAAAACATTTGATAATA